TGGTTAGGCGACCACCTGATGGATAGAAGGCAGAAGGTAAGGGTCAGTGGTGTACTGTCAGGGTGAAAAGCAGTACTAAGTGGAGTACTTGGCCTCCTGCTGTTCCTTTTATACGTAAATGAACTGCCGAAAACTCTTACCTCATCTTTTCTACTATTTGGCGACAATATAATGATATGGAAAATCGTAAATGGTGACGATGATATGTTGGTACTACAAAATGATCCGGATAAATTAGCTGAATAGGCTAACCTCTGGAGTCTGTAGTTGATTCCAAAAAGTGCAGTAATACACCAAGGTCAGAGGTCTTACACGTCGTATTTCCTGGGGACACAGAACTGTCAGATGTTAGGGGACGAAACAACTTATGAATTTTTGTAAGCCATGACATTAGAACAACATTAAATTGTAATAGAGCCCCAGTTAAGGCTTTTAAAAGCTATGTGCACTTATAAGAGCTTTCAGACGATTAGACGAGAGAATGTTCGAAGTACTCCATGCAACGTTTCAGAACTCATCTAGTATACTGCATACAAGCGGTGAGTCCATACTTCAAAAAGGAGGCACGTACCCTGGAAAGAGTACAGATTGTAGGAACCAAATTAGTTAGTGTTATCCCACACCTTCCCTATGATATGAGCCTGAAACATTTAAATCTCTTCCCATTCTCATACCGCAGGAGGAGAAGCGACTTAATTTAAGGGATTGATCTTTACAACCTTTTCTCTCCCTCTAGTATATATTTACGAGGTCACCGCAAGAAGGTGCTCAAACGGAGTTCGAATGAAATAGATGTGGTATTTAGGTTCTCTCACAGAGTGGTCAACGGCAGGAACTCCTTAACTGACTTAGCAGTAACAGCTCCATAGGCGAACGCTTTCAAAGGGAAACTAGATCTCTGCACAGATACATACTGAAGGATTAACATAAGCAACAAGAGCCTTCTATCCTTATAATCCGAATCTGGATCTGAATATTTTTACCACAAGCCCCAGTTTTAAAGAAGCAGTTATATGGGTTCTTTATCTAAGATCTGTGACTTGTTGCAAAATGCACATTCTAAGGAACCAGCAGATATCCGTACCCTGGAGTAAAGCCACATGTATCTGGTGAGGGAGTCACCGGAACTTTTGCCTTCTACCTCTATGGTGGTACACGGTGTTCCGGAGCTGGAAACGGGCACTGCCTGTGAAAAACACATGCATGACGTACAGCAGTGGGGATGGCTGTCGTCTCAGATGGCCCTTGGCGCTTCTGGAGCCATCTCCGTTTACCGACTACCTCGCCCCGCTCATCTCACACTGATTAGCTCCCCAAAGCTGCTAAGTGTCACATTCAACTCCCCAGAGCAGTTGGCCATAGCACCTCAACGGTGGTATGAGATCAAGGGGAAATTGGGAGGACACATCCGGTGCTGCGAAAGCAGACCTCGAACCATAAGGAGGCAGCAAACAGAGGCTTTAATACGTCTTCAAGCTTCAGTGACACCAGAGCGATGCAGTTCTGAGAATAACAGTCTGTGCCACCCAAGTGTCCTGCCTAACTCCAAGGGAAAAAACCACAACGGGCCGGTTCCATCGGAACTGGCCACCTAGTCCCAACATTAAGTCCCCTACCAGCAGACAGCTTCACGTCAACTACCCCACAACACGCTGAAGTTGTAAGACTCACTGTCAGCTGCCTATATAGCAATGTGAGAGGGCTGAGAGGAAAAATAGGTGAACTCCGAAATCTCCAAGCACACCTACAACTGAAAATGATCATTCTCACCGAAACATGGCTAACCCCCACTATCGCCGACAACGAAATCAGTATAGGTGATATGGTTTTGGTCAGGAGAGACAGGGATAATAAGGAAGGAGGGGGAGTTGCCATATACTTTGATAGGCAACTTAAATGTGTGCGCGCAACGGACCCACCACTTATTGAACTCCCAGACTCCATGTGGTGTCATTTCACCGTAGGCCACACCAAGCATTTACTTGGTGGCATCTACCGATCTCCCACCTGTGGGGCAGAGCACAATCAGCTACTGCTCAGCACTATCACAGGGATACGAGACTTGGGCTATGACCAAATCACCACTGCTGGAGATTTCAATGCCCCATCACTGAACCTTGGCTCGGGGTATGCTAAGGGAAAATTCGGCCGAAATCTACTGCAAGCTATTCGGAACACGGGACTGACTGAGAACGTTGGAGACGACACTAGGTGGGGCCCTAGTGGAAAGTCATCAAAACTAGACTACATTCTAACTAGTGACCAACTACTCGTCGAAAAGGTCCAGGTCATGACTCCTCTAGGAAGTAGTGACCATGCAGTCATAGGTTTCGACCTCGTTCTCCGTGAGCACTTGCAGTGGGACGCTACGCAACCATGTCTGTGTTATGGCAAGGCTGACTATGCTGAAATGCGGAGGCTCTTGTCCGATGCAGACTGGCCCTTAGCATGGGATGAGCTGTCTGTGGATGAACACTGGGAAGCAGTAAAAAAGATTATTCATACAGTAATCTCGGATACCGTCCCTTTAGTCACAAAACAGCCCAAAAGAAAGTCATCATGGTTAAAGAGAGGCACGCAGCGTATTCTGCAAGCAAAGCGGAAGGCTTGGTTCACGTGGCGCGTATCTAAAAGCCAGATCGACCATGATGAATACCTGGAACCCAGGAACCGGTGCAATGCAAGAGTCAGGAGGGACAGGAGGTTATTCCAGGCTAACCTTGCTAAAAAGCTCCTGGCAAACCCGAAGAATTTGTACCGATTCATGTCGGAAAGGAAACCAACCAACCAGGGGGCGTGCGCCTTAGTAGGCCAAAACGGTCAATATCTCACTAGTCTGGAGATGGCTGAAACATTTAGTTTAGCCTTCGCCAAACAGCTAAACAGGAATGTGGGTATTACCGTTACGGACCAAAATGGTGGCATCACTATTTCACAGGAGGAAGGACAAATAGCCAACCCCCCAAATAAACCCTGCAATAGTACTGAGAAAGCTGCAGCGACTCATGCCTGGGAAGTCCCCAGGTTGTGATGACATCAGGCCATCTGTTCTGAAACAGTGCGCCGAAGCTCTCTGTAGGCCTTTATGCGACTTGTTCCAACACTCCATGGAATCGGGGAAACTGCCAAAGGAATAGAAAAGAAGCATCCTTTCTCCGATCTTCAAGGGTGGGGATAGGCAAAATCCCACCAGTTATAGACCAGTAGCTCTACTCCCAGTGGTATCGAAAGTACTGGAAAGTATTATTGATGATCACATCAGGGAATATCTGGATAGGTCTAAAATACTCCATGAAGCCCAACACGGTTTCAGGAAAGGGAGATCCTGCGTCACTATCTTATTATCAGCTTGGGACGACTGGACATCAAGCTGGGATATGAATGTTCCAGTCCATGTGATCTTTCTAGACTTTGAGAAGGTATTTGACACTGTTCACCATGACCTTCGCCGACACGAAATAAGCCAGGTAGGTTTAGGTAAACCACTTCTTTCATGGTTGAAGGACTACCTGACTGAAAGGCAATTTTGCACAAAGGTCAATCGAGTCAGATCATCTTGGCACAGCTCGTCAACAGGAGTGTCGCAGGGTTCTATCCTGGGACCACTGATGTTCTTGATTTTTATCAATGATCTACCATGCCGTCTAAGCTGCCCGACTCTTCTATACGCTGATGACGTGAAGATATGGAGGGCGGTAAAGTGTCCGGAGGACTCAGATAGACTGCAGGCAGATCTAAGGCTTCTGGAAGACTGGGCGGTAGCCAGTGGCATGACTTTCAACCTGAAAAAGTGCAAAGTAGTGAAGTTACGCACCTGTAGACTGAAGAATGCAAGTTACACCCTGTGCAATGAAAGCTTGTCCTGCTCAACGTCGGAACGTGACTTAGGTCTAGTTCTTACGGAGAAAGTTGATACAAGCGTAAATTATACGGGGGATGTAGCGAGGGCATATGCGGTCATACACTTTACATATCGACAGTTAGGTGCACTCACTCCTGAGCTCTTTCTAAGGTTGTATAAAACATACGTCAGACCGCATCTTGAAGTGAATAATATCACTGCACCCCCACTGCTTAAAAGAGACGCCAACGTCTTGGAGTCCAACGACGGGCAACAAAAGGAGTGGTTGGTCTCCGAAATAAACCATATGATAAAAGGCTGAAGAAATTAAGCCTATTCACACTTAGTTACCGTCGTCTTAGGGGGGATTTAATTACTGCCTACAAAATAACAAATGATCAGAATCACCCAAACAAAGGTGTTCTGCCACTGAGTAGGTACAGGCTCCCAGGCGGAAATCCTAGAAGGATAGCTCATCAGAGGGCAAGGACCCGGGTGCGCTCCCACTTCTTTTCCCTGCGGGTTTGCCGTCCCTGGAATTCCTTATCGGCAGATGTAGCTATAGCACCGTCTGTGGACACCTTTAAGCGAAGGCTGGACAATCATGCAGCGACACAAGGACTGAGTCAAAATGGCCTATCTCCTTAAAATCGCATACACCGTTCAAAGGTAGACAATTAAACTTCTTTACATTCTCTTCAGTCTTACTCTCCTGACAGCTTTAACTACGCCTATTATTATTATTATCATTATTACTGGTATATATATATATACCGGTTGACTGACTGTTGTTACGTTTTCTTATTCTTTTTCTGTCTGTTAGTCTGAATACCTTCACTAATTATATCTATTATTATTATTTTTTTTCTATTGAAGACGATACTGAAGGACCAACTGGTAAAAGGATCAACTCCATTCACAGTAGTAAGAGTCTTAACACACCTCATACTACAAACCACATATAATTAATCCCTGCACTACTCCTTTTGGAGTAAACCAAAGCTACGGCAGTGAAGTGGCGGGACGAGCTACGCAGACGTTTACCGAAGATCAGGAAACTATACCTCACAATCAAGAGGCGAGCACAAAGAAATCAAATTGGTTTATACTAGCTCGTAAAAACGATATTGGATATTGGATCTGGCATTGTACTGTTGAACTCAGTTGTAACACATGGGCTCGTTTTTCAGTTCTTGTGGTTACTTGGAATTACTTATCTAAATGTTACATGGTTTTAAACGTATCCTCAAAGTCTGTTGTTGTAAAAAGACACTTGGAAGTATACGGGCTACCGCTGCAACTAGTAAGTCCCACATAATGATTCACCCGAACGACTTCATAAGTGTACTTCCGAAACGCGTTTGCTACGAGTTCGCGTTATTCGTGCCCTGGATCTTATGAAAAAGGATATATTTGGTGCAAGGTAAAATTTACTATTAGTTAATCTCTGTTAGTGATCCATACTGCAAGCTGTGTGTATATAAAACTCAGCGGTCAACATTACCTGTCTGTACACCAGTGCCAACAAGAACCGTTAAGCGTTCTTTAAATCCTATTTGGAATGAAGAATTTATATTTAGAGTAAGTTGCAATATAATGTCATATTTCCTAGGTCAATCCATCTGAAAATCGTTTAGTTTTCGAGTTGTACGATGAGAACAGAATTGTAAGTTTTTTAGAATTCACTAGTCATAATCACCTAGACAAGAGATGACTTCTTGGGCGTCGTTACTGTATTTCTGCCTTATTTGGAAATTGGTACTGAAGGCTCCGGTTCTCGAATAATGGCGAAAAGTTTCTTGTTACGTCCTCGAAGGTACTATTATTCTTCAATATAACATATTAATGCTTTTTATTATTACAAATTTTATGTTATAGTCTCAAATAGTTCCTTGAGAATAACCCATACTCAGTGTTTCAGCGTAAAGCCTCACTTTTTTGTCTAATACCTACACCCAATTATTTGGGAACTTAATTTCTTAACTATGGAGTTGTAAAGTAGAATTTCACTGTGTCTGCTCAAGTCTTAGTAATCAGTTGGTTCACTTGCCCTGCATTATTGATGTTTCATAGTACAGCTTTTGAATACCGAGTTATCTCTTACGCTTGTTTTCAACTCTCCTAATATTGTACTTAGTAATCCCAAGGTGTTAACAATTAAGCTCACTTGTTCATGTATTTTTTAGTGAGTCCCTTTCAGTTTATCTGGAGGCGCACTGATAGATTGTCTTTGAGGATTTACCATCATACATTTACAGTAGTTTATATCGTAGATGGAAAAGATATGGGAATAGAGACTATCCATTTTGTTTCAGAATTTTTCGAGATTTGTGGTTTTCAGAAGTATGTTTAGGAAGTCGTGCATGGTGTCTTCGTTTGCATTAATGTGAATGCCTTAGTTGGTAAGACTGGATTATAACTTCATTCCCGTTTAATTGCTACCATATAGCAACTAGAGATATATAGTGGTAATTTCTGTAATAAAACGCTAGCATATGCACATTTATCGCCATTGATTGCGTTCCAGTGTAAATCCACGGAATTTTCTTATTTCAGTCAAAGTAACAACAGTAATTCATGAAAAACATATGGCTGAATTGAATACTAAAGTTTAGAATTCAATAGACTAATTAGTAAAGTGAAAAGAGCCTTATGAAATCACCATTGTCAATAATAGCCGTGGTACGTTCCAGATAACCAGACTGAAGCATGTATTTCTTGTAAACACCACTTCTTGAACCTGGAACTTGAGATCCAAGATTTGCGTTCCTTTTGTTACTGGTAACTACCAGTATTCTTTGTATGGATCTCACAGTCATCGCTTTAAGGTTAGCTTTTTTGTATCTTCATTCAATAGCTATTCTCTGATTGAGTCTGACCGATTGGTTTCAGCACAGCTCTGCACCAGTTCGAGTTGCCACTCTCCCCCCGCCCCACATACTGTACACAAAGCTAGGAAATGCAGTAAAGAGAGATTCAAAAGAGAGATAACTGTGCGTTGGTGGCACAGTGGTTAGGACTCTCGCCGACCATGCACATGGTCCGGGGTTCGATCCCCTGCCGGCGCACACCCGATATCTATGGTCGGCCTGAATTTGGGCTACCGATATCCATGCTGAAAATTCCACACTTGTACTGAAAATACGGTGTGGAATCAAGCTGTAAATCAAAATAAAATAAAAAAATAAAGTATGAGTGAGGCGAAAGCAATAGTAACATGGAAGAAGAACAGTAGAGTTTTATTGGATATGACAAATCAAAAAGATTGAATGCATCCGCACATCATTGAAAACGACAATTTCGAGCCAGCCACATCCCGTGGACCCAAACTAGCCAGTCAGGAAGTTTACACCTCCCTATATGTCTTAAACTGACTGTTGTGGATTTCATTGGTTGATGCCATGTTTCGCTTTGACCACCACTAGCTTTTTTCCAACCTGATCCATTCAATGTCAGCTAACATTTCCCATCGAGGGAAGTGATGATGAGGCACGCGCAACATTTGTCCCAATCATGTCAATCAGTGTAATTTTACAACCTCGTCGATTGATTTCCCCTCCTTACCTGGCAGTTGATGCCTAACTTCAATATTGTTCACCTTGTGATTGAGCAATATGACGGTGAGAGTATCTGTAGTAGTCTTGAGCGGTTTCTTTATTTGGATAAGATTAATTAGATGCAGTGTTATAGTTGTAGATTTAAATTGATTAGTTCACCTAAAACATGAATCATGTTCAACTATGTGAGGCTGAGGTTACGCAAAGTCTGATGACATTGTTAGTATACGACGATTTAGGTCTAAACTAAAAAGCCTGGGTTACTTACTATATGATTCCTATGCAGGTATTATGCTTCTTTTTATGTGTTGTTCACGTAGAGTATCACTTATTCTATTTCAGCTCTCGGTCCCGTGTTCGAGGCAATCTGCACTTGTATTTGGCCTACTTACCGAGCCATTTAAATCCACGAATATCATCTCTCCGTGAAATTCCTGCTATTGTTGAATTGGTTAGTTCTGTGTTTTCACTGTAATAACTAACTATATGAATTAAGTTATATCGTTACCAATTTAGATACAAACTGTTTATGATTAACTTTTTATTAGCATACAACGTTTTTTTGCAATTTAGTGTGGTGCTATCTTATTGAGTAAGGGTGTGTCTTGCCATCCGAATGTATTTTGCCTCATTTTATGGTATGCAGAGATTTTTGTGCGCAAACACTATGCTATGCTGTGCGTTCTCTGCCTCTGTCAGGCGACTTCTATTCAATGCTTTCACCTGTCACCGGATATTCCTACAAAAGTGTAAGACGAACTCTGAATGTCTCGCACACATTACTAGACTAGTGGACATGAAAGATTTACTTAGGCTGGATTTGAAAATGTTAATCCCAAACTAATAGTGCACTTAATCTCCAGTATGCGAAAGCAGTGACTGGTAGAGTAACCGTAAGAATGTAGCTCCTGACTGTGCTATTGTAACAACAAAAGACAAGGGCCAGGCAACAGATCGTTTATTAAAGAAAATGAACACATATTTATAGATTTTGATGTACATTGTTGTAGATTATTGTTAGTATAAAATACAGTCGTTTGATTGGTTGTTTCTCACAGAAAGTTAACCTTGCATCTCTTTGTGGCTGTGTCAGATCATCCATATGCTAACTGTATCCGCCTACGCAAAGCCTTTGTTCTTATTTTCTCGCCACCAATGTTGGGGACATAAACTCTGACGTCAATCACTGTCTACCAACTTTGGCTAGCAGCCAGCTCTCACCACACTATTCCTCTTTGTAGATTGTGTCAAGTTACAGATTTGGAAAGGGTCCTGTAAGACAATCATCTGCTTAGATCTGGGTGTCCGGGTAGTCACCACACAAGATGTGGATAACAGATTAGTGCAAAGCTTAAAACATCTCTTGGCAAATAAGTTTGTGTCCAGAAAAAGCCCCGAAAATTATCGTTGAACTTTTACATAGTTATGTCAGCTGAAAAACTGAAAGCAGTATTCATCGTTTTGTTTCTAAATGTTTACATGTTTTATTTTTTTTTATTCCAGTCATCTGATCAAAGGCATAGTGAAGGTCACATCTCGCCTAATCAAGTTTCTTCACATCGTTCTAGTTTACAAACACAGTCTTCCCACAGTCCTGGTATTTCTACAGCATCTGGTACTGCAGAAAATGGTACTGACAGTTGTGTACTTGTTAGAAATACACCTATAGAAATGGATGCTGAAAGTGTTACTGAAAGTGTTGTTGGACCAATGCTATCCACATCATTAGATGAAAGTTCTTCAGTAGAAATGGTATCAGATCCTCTACCTCCAGGTTGGGATGAAAGAGTGGATCAGAATGGACGTACATATTATGTGGATCATGTGAATAAACGTACACAATGGGATAGACCTTCATTGTAAGCAGTTTGTTTTTTAGAATTTTTAGGTATCTCGTATTTTTTCCACTAATTTTTCAGGAATGATTAATGCTGGTATAAATGAGCAATTGATGGTTGTACTTATCAAAAATTACAGAAAGTCAGTAGGCTTAGTTGTTACTTAAATCCATCACACAGGTTGGGTTCCGACGATGTACCAAGCATTTCGCTTTAAAAGTGTGCTGATAATTTATGTCACCTTCTAACACAAATCTTTAATGCATCATTTCTGAGGGTTAAACTGCCCGTTGCTTGAAAAGAAATAAAAGTGTTACCTATACCAAAATCATGTGAATCAAATCTCAAGTTTAGACCAGTCGCCATCATGTCTCCATTTTTTCAAAAACCATGGAGAAACTTCTCATTCATGTTGTTCAACCGTCTTTGAAGTCTGCCCCGACCGGCCTCAAGCAGTTGTGCCCTGGACTCTGCGGTTACGCAACACTTTCTGTTTCAGATTCCCGAAGAATCAATCAACTTCCACGGTGTGTGCAGCCGGGAAGTAACAACCGCCCACACACTTCCAAAAGTACACAGACAGACTTTGAAGTCTGCTAATAACCCAAAGCAGTTTGCTTAAAAATACTGTAGAAACACATTAGATACTATCTCTGTACTCCACCACAATGTTGTTTCGAATCCTGTTAAAGGCACAAAGTTTGTTCGAGCCTCATTTTTAGACTGCACTGCTGCTTATGACTCTATTCCTAGGGCACTTTTACTAAGCAGGCTGATTTCAGTAAACACAGAGTCCTGCGGTCACAAGGTGGCTGGCTGTCTTTTTATTTTTCGGGTAGAAAACAACATACTGTGTTGAATAGAAATCGCTCCACTTCGTTGTTAACAGAAACTGATGTGTCTCAAGGTGTCGTACTGTCTCCATTCCTTTTTCCGTTCTCTGTGTATAGCCTTCCATATTCTTCCAAAGCCAACTTCAATAAACATACCGATGATGTAACTATTTCTGTTCCAGTAGTTTCTGCTTTGGATTGTTCCTATGTGAACAGATTCTTATCTGAAATTAACAAATGGTCTCACTCAGATGGTCGTAAACTGAATTCATCTAAACAGGTCATATTGTTGATTTTAGTTTCATTTGCGAACAAAACTTGCGTGGACTGTGATTCAGTCCTTCCATGATTCCTGTAATATTGACGGCATTGTAATAGGGAGTAAATCGAATATCTCTCATCTCGGCAGCAGTTTCTTTTCGCATCTCTGTTACTGGTCTCGTATCTTGTTGATTTCTAAGGAAATCTCTCGTTTGACTTATTCCATAAAGAAGTTGATACTTTCTGCTGACATAAATCAACCTCTTTTCTTACACTTTGTTAATTCATGTATTCTGCCCATTCTTCTTTATTGTTCGCTTTTATTCTTCCCTGAACTTCTCAAAAAAGACTATATCATCTTACGCAGAACACTGAAGGCTGTAAGTAGGGTTATTATCAATAGGCACTTCAATTCTTTCAAACAGTTAGCTAAAATTATCTCGTCTGACACCAAAACATTATCCCCACATATTCTCAATTTTTTCCTTGTATCTCTTCTGGCAAAGCCATGAGAAACTTCACAAGAATTTATGCTCGTACAACTAGATATATGAGAATTCTACCATACCATATTTCGCTCAGGTTTTGTATGAAGTCACATGTCAGGAAAGAACTTATAAACTGTATATTTATAAAAAGAGCTAAATTGTTGCATTATTTACAAAAAAATCTCTGAAAATTCCATTCGCTGTGATTATTATTGTTGTTTGGAATAAAGTGATTATTACTGAAAAAAATTACTATGCTTCAATAGGTTTACATCAAGTTTATGAAATAAGTGAAAATTGCTGTTGGGTGGTCACACCTTCCAATAAGGCAAAAACATTTCTCTTAATATATGTGTAAAACTTGTGAACTGTGGTAGTAAGTGATTCCATATCAATTTGTTTATTGGATGTATCACACAGTGAGTGAAACAGTATTATTTACTGGATGACGTTTCGTACAAAATTTATTGTTCATAATCATATCAATTATAATTGCACGACTTCGAAACTTGAGTTTTATAGTTTTCTTTGTTCTCTCCTATTTGTCGTCGTTGGGGTAGTAGAATTTTCCAGATATCTGGCTAGACAGGTGTTGAATCATTCCTATTACATGTATATGCACTTGATTCGATAAACAAAGCTTCCGTTTTCAATCTCTCCCTCCACCCTGTGACATTAGATTTTAGAACTGTCATCCTATCCCATCCAGCCTATTGTATGATTGTGTGTAATTGCATGTAGTGCTATAGCTGAATTATTCTCTAGATTTCTTATCTCATTCGGGCCAATCAATCTGGGTTTTGCTAGGTTTCCATGCTCGGCTAGTCTGACTGCTCCTGTTCTACTAGTGTGACCTATGTATTTGACCTGACAATCATTCCAGCAGGGTATTAGATAAACTAAATTGTTTTATTTAATTGGCTCCACAGGATTGATCCTTTAATCGACAAAGCTTGTTCCTAATTGAGTTTGTGGTTGGTTTGAATGCCAGCCAGCCACTTTTATTCCTGCCTTGTTAAGAATTCTGCGTAATGTGGATTCCGAGGTTCCTTCCTTGTATGGAATTACTACTGATGATTTAGATTCCTTATTGTTGGTATTGTCTTGCGCACATTTGACATGCATGTCGTCATTAATATTATTATCATTATCACTATCACTACTATCATTATTTATTTTATTTTTACATTTCCCTACATATTTCCTGACTAATTTATCAGGGTAATGATTAAGTTTCAAGACTTCTCTTATATGTATCACTTCCTGTCTTAGATTTTCCTCGGTACTACTTAGTTTTTGTGCTCTGTCACTTAGACATTTCACCAATCCTATTTCCAAGAGGAACTGTAAACTATTAATGGTTTAAGTCTTAAATACTCACCAGAATTACAATAGAAGCTGTATCGTTTTGTGAAAATCCTACCCATGCATGTACTCAGTTTTGACAATACCTCTTATAAGCAAACTAGCTACACCACTTTGAGGGTGATATAAATTCATCAAGTGTTGCTTTGGTTATAGGATTGATCATGTGATGGGTAATTGAGATCTAACAAACTAATGTAAGCAACTGGTATCCAATTATATATTAAGTTGGAAACTTGAATCCCACCCCTACCCCCACTTAGGAATTATCGTTATCTGTGGCTAACTAGACGTAGTAGTACTGTGGTGAGAGATGGTTGCTAGCCAAATTGGTTGACAGTAATTGAGGTCAAAGGTCAAGATGGACAGGCGGATACAGTTAACATATAGATGAACTGACACAGCCACAAGAGATGCAAGGTTAACTTTCTGTGAGAAACAACCAATCAAAAGACTGTATTTTCTACTAACATTAACCTACAATAATGTACATAAAAATCTATAAATACGTGTTGATTTTTCGTAATAAACGTTCTGTTGCCTGGCCCTTGTCTTCTGTTGTTACAGTACCATACCTGAATAAGTGAATTTTGTCTTTCCAACTGAATATAAAAGTGAGTGCATTAGATATACAATTTTCTAAAGCTATCTATTAACTGGGTGTAATTTTTTAGTTAAATTAAACATACTCTGTAGTCATATCTGTGCTTCTTTTCTCAATGTGTTACAGTCGATTACCACAAGGCTGGGAGCAACGAACTGATGCCAATGGTCGAGTTTATTATGTGGATCATATAAATCATAGAACTACATGGTATCATCCTTTGTCTGAGGTAATCGTTGACAAGTTTTATTTTATTGACAAGTATCAGTGATATAATATATATTCATCTTTTAAACTTTTAAAGAATCACCGATTGTGAACAGCTTTGGTCGAATGTATGCTGATCTCTTTTATCTACCTGGGAAGCATCGTTTCAACTACAGGTGGAACTGACGAGGATATCAAAGCAAGAATCGGGAAAGCAAGACAAGCTTCCACTACTCTCAAGTCTGTGTGGAGGTCAACAGCACTCAGCCTGAAAATGAAAATAAGATCCGGATTTTCAACTCCAGTGTGAAGTCAGTCAGTGCTACTATACGGATCAGAGACTTGGCCAGCGCGTCATAAAGAGCATCTCAAACAAACTACAGACCTTCATTAACAGTTGTCTTCGCTCAATACTCAAGATCAGATGGCCAGAGTAGATCAGCTACAGGGATCTCTGGCAATGAGCGAACCAACCAGGAACCGATTGTGCAACAAATAGGCAGGAAGAAATGGAAATGGATTGGCCATACTCTGAGGAAACAAACTATCAAGTGACATAACTAGACAAGCCATTGCTCGAGTGGAACCCGAAAGGGAAGCGGCGAGTTGGTCGTCAGTGCAAGGGTGACATGGAGGAGGTCATGTGAAGAGGAGATGAAAACGTGTGGGCAGACTTGGAGCCAGGTGAAGACTCTAGCAGAGAACCTAACGCAATGGAGACGCACAGCTGAAGCCCTATGTTCCTCTAGGAATTAAAGGAAACAATAATAATAATGTGGACTCTCATTTGACATTAAATGTTAGAGAATGTTTCTCGAAACTTGATATGACTAGTAGAATTGTTTCAAGCCACCGTCAAGTACTCTCTAAGTTAGTTGACCTATTTGTGGAATTCTCAGACGTGCATAACTCATCTTTTCCCATTCTGGTTCCACTCGATCGATGACCTAGCGCGCTATGTAACCACTCGACGGTTTCCTCAGTGTTTGTGTGTGTCTGCCAAGTTCACTTCCATTCTCTTCGGAATATTATTTGTTAAGCAATCGGTTCTTGGTTGGTTCGTCACCTCCCGGCGTTTCTTGCTGCTAATTCTTTTGGTTCATTTTATCTTCAATATGGAGCAAAAGCAGCTTCGTGTTACTAATCACGTCTTTTGATAGTTTGTGACAAGTTATCTGACAGACACTGTCAACATAAGGTGTAACATTGTCGGGACCCCCTGTTTGTCTTGACAGGGAAAAAGTCATTTAGTGTTAAAAATAAGAGAAAATAAGAAACAAAAATGGAGTGAGTGCCTGGAGATGTTTACTGGTGATATTCTCATAATATAGATAAATTGGGGTTGGGGAGGGGTGGATGGACAATATTTCTGCGATCAGTCTAGAAACGTTCTGCCTATTACTCATGTTCGCATACTCAATTTGGTGTGTTTCAGTAAATGTGTGTATGCGTGTGCATGTGTTCACAGAGTTTCGCCTTTCTTTCTATTAAAGCGTGGATAAACACCCGAGATGGATATTTAAAGGGCACTGGTTTTCACCTTCATATATAGCACAGATGCACATCATTTCAGATAACCAGGATTCATGAAATCAAAAGGCTAAGAGAAGTTATGGAAGTACGATTATATAACAGTGAACACAAGTGTGTTGGTGGGTCGGTCCACCTCGTGGTACAATACTTGCCAAGTCGCTCACCTGGTCAGGGTTCGATTCCCGACCGATGCACTCGCTAACCTTGCTTAGTTGGTGGTAAGCCAGGCAAAGAGGGAAGTCTGGGTGTGCAGGGCTACCGACACCACTGTTACTGAAGCTTTAAAGCCCTAATTTTTGAAGCCATGTATTCCACCCGCAGTGCAAAAGGAATGACAGACAGAGAGATAATAAAAACATTGTGGTGTGATGACAGTGCGCAGTATATCAAACACAAATATATTCCCCCTCAGTTGTAAAATGATTATTTGGCTATGTAACATTTTCTATAGTTTGGTTTGTAAGGGTTAGTTTTGTTTTTACGAGTTGATCACGGATTGATATCATTTAAAGAACCATTGAAAACCAGGGTGTACTGGAAAGCTGTTTCATCCTAGTTTGGGAATCATCGGCAGTACGCACCCACTGGGGTTCGAATGGAGGATTTTCCGGTTACAAGGCAAGCTCTAAGACCATTCAGTCCACTGGGACCCAACTCCTCAATGGCCAGTCCATGAATTCTAACTCCTACCAATTCGCGATTTAGCGCGACCCCAACCATTGTCGTAGGTGGGACATCCATTCTCACACGTGACATGTGGATGGACCTCACTGGTCACGACTTCTCACTAGAACTCCAGGAAACTCAATCCTGTAGCAAGTCACTAGCGAGGAAGCATCAGATTAATTTTCTATAGTTTGGTTTGTAAGGGTTAGTTCTGTTTTTACGAGTTGGTCACGGATTGATATCAGTTAGAGAACCATTGCCATCATAGTAATGGGATGATATCTTCACTGGTGTTTGGTCAGATATTTTGTACTCGGAGGCATTAGAAAAATGTATGGCTGGTATTGGTGATATGTCCTAAATAACTGTGCAGTTAAATTGTCGTAATTTTTTTTTCATTGTTAAAATCTATTGGATTGTTTAATCCTGATTTCATTTCTTTTTCTTCTTGTTTATTTGCTTGTTTGTTTGTTAGGGATCTCGGCTACAAGCATCACCTCCACATTCATCTACCAGTCCAGATACATTTAACGATGGTGATGAACCACCTGCTGAAGGTAAAAGCATTTTTCTTAAAAAGGTTTTTTAATTGAATTAAAAAAGAAAACCAGCCATCCAGTGTAATAATAGGATAACTTCGTGAACTATGCTGCGTCTATAGTTCCGCAGTAGAACGCTTGCCAACCATCCCACGCGCGTGGTCCGGGGCTCAATTGTCCCCTTCCCTTTGCCGGCCAACGCATTACCAAACCTTGCTAAGCCTGGTATTAAAGCCAGTAAAGATGAAAGGCTGGGTGTGTGGCTAACAACCTCACCTCCTACCGAAATTTACAAGCTCTAGCTTCAAGCGATATGTTCCACTCGGAACATAAAGGAATAATAGTAATAATAATAAATTAGTGAACTACCTGTTGAAGCGTTTTCATAGGACTGCAGTCCTTGGGTTCATTTTAATAATAATAATAATGATCTACTTTATTCCAAAACAGACAGTACTTATAATACAGAATGGAATTCTCAGCATTTGTGACAATATTGCATCTGATTTACTTAAAATATAAATAAAATTAAAACAAAATTAACCAGAGGAATTTGTCCACGTTTACGATATAAAGTCAAAAATATTCGAAGTACGGATTGAGAATATTAAATATAATAATTATAATAATAACAGTGAGTTTGTTTCAAACAGTACTGCCGATTCAGTTTGGAAATTTTAGCATGTTATAGATTATTGAATCTAATGTTCTGTTCTGAAGAGGAAAAAGTGTCGTTCCACTTATGCCGCATAAGTGGAACGGCACTTTTTCCTCTTCAGGAATTGAATACTCTTACAGATGTACTAGTAATTGAACTGCTTTTCTTAATATACACCACACAATATCATACCTTCTTTTTACGCATTGTTCATTGTGTTTCTCCCATTGTGTTGTTTTATATTGTTGCTGATGTTCACAACACTTTAGGAGAAGTAGCTAACGGAGATGGTGAACCTGAACCGGAATACCATGCCAATGCTGAAGCATCGAATAGTCCAAGCGAAAATCAAGAAAATCATTCACCTGACCCTGAAGCTGAACCATCTCCAACGCATACAAAAGTAACCGATTCAAGATCTCAAGTACACGGTAACAGTGGATCATTGCGAAATAATAATCCTCGTCAAACACGACGTAGTTTAACTATAGCTGAAAGAATACGTGCAAGAAATGGAATAAATTCAACAGCAGCAGCAGCTCGTTGTTTAGCGAATCGTCAAAATGTCATAGATGAAGTACGCGCTGCACAGACTATGTATATGAGGCGGAGACAAGTTAGCCATGAAGATACTGTATCCCGTGTCCCCATAAATCTAGATGCTGTGAGTCTCATTCACTTTTTTTTGTAGTATATTTTATATCAGGTCATATTCAATACAAGCTGCTTTTTTTCTCTGAATGTCAATGTGATGCCTCCGTCTTTCCTGAACTTTTCGGTGTATTCAGACTTTTAGGTTGTAAAGGTTGTGAATCACCTTGATGTCATCCGGTTATCCGTCAGGCGACACATGTATACTGTTCAGCAGTTCCGCTGTGTGCTGTGTGACTGTGAGACATGCCTATGGAAAGTAGAAGATACGTGAAAAGGCTGGCTGTCTCCGATCACAGATGCTTACGTTTTATCTTCCTTGTCAAGTGGTACAATATGGTGAGCTAGCAGGATGTAAGTTGGGCTTAGAGTGAGTGCTAGGTAAAAAAAAAGGGGAGTTGATTGATGAGGTTGTGAGAATTACAATCGATTAAGATGACCTAGGACAAGTGTTTTGCATCCCGAGATATCGCCGCCCCTCCCCCTCCTCGAACAATGTTAGCTGACATAGAGTTGGGTTGGAAAAGAGTTAGTTTTGGTCGAATTGAAACCTGGAATCAGTTGGTTTGAGTAACGCAGGTAGATGTAGGCATCTTTGTGTTAGGGTCTTCAGTATGCTAAGAACCAAAATGGCTAGAGACTATTTGTCACATGATTTAATTCAAGACTGAAGTACTCAGTCTTGGGTTAACGTGTCGGCTCCTTGTGCAGATGCTTCGACGATGTCTGGGCATGTAACTAGAAGTTAGTCGTTGATTGGTGACTACCAGTGGAATCCAGAATGCGTATATCGTCCTATTTGGGATTCGTCATCTGGATGTATGTACCTGCATTCCCCAGTCAGTGATGATGTTCCCTGGGAGGCTCGAACCCAGTGTACCCATCGTTTCAAACGCCAAAGCTTTAGCCACTAAATCACCTGGGCGACGAGAGCCACCTCTGACGAGTCCCAAAGGTCTGCCAAAGTCTGTTGAAAATGCTTTTCCTGACATCCTAGCCAAGTTTCTGACCCACATAGAAGAACCAACTGACTGGCTGAATATTGATGTTGAAAATCCGAATTTTGTTGTTTATGCTGACTGAGTGCAGAAGCTTCACAAACCGATTTCAAATTGATGAAGATATGTCTCGCCTTTTCGATTCTGGCTGGTTTTGTCATTATCCGTGCCGACTACCTGTAGTTGAAACAAAGTTACCTGAATAAGTGAAAGAGGTGACCTCTTTCAAATTTCTCTGTTTGATGGTGATTGGTGCTGGTTATCGCTGTTAATTGGTTATTTTCATTACCTTCGTCTTCTCTATGTTCACCTGGGGTCTTATCTTTGCTTTTTCTTCTGCCAGTTTGATGGTTTTCGCCTGCAAGCCTTCGAGTTTGTGACATTAGGTATGAATCATCCACAAAATCCAGATGTTCTAGAGTCTTCGTATCGGTCAGCCCAACGTATTGCTGTCTTCTCGCTCCATATGTACTTCGAACTTTTGCTTTTTTTTGAAGACTGATCTTCTATCTTGATTACTCTTACTTTATGCACAAAATGCATTCCGTTCCGAGCTGCATTTTATTTCTCAAAGAAGATTGACGTTTTTGTCACCAATAATGTAACACTTCGGTGTTGTGTGGTAGTTATTTTTTAGTTAAGTAGGCTTGTTCATACTAGTCGTGTCATCCTGGAGTGGCTAAAAGATCCACTAGATACAGAACTCAACTCCCTCGGTACATGCTGTAATCAGGAAAAGCAATTCATGTTTGCAGATCAAACAGCAGCTCTACTCATCGTCATCGCTGGAACCAGTTATACCTAGTGTCACACAAAGTCGAAAGCCTATCGGCGAAAACTAATAAGCTAGAAAAAGAAGAAGAAGCATCCAGCGGAGACAGCATTTCAAAGTGAACATAGAGAATACGAAGGTAATGAAAATAACCAACAACTAACAGCAATAATCAGCACCAATCACTATCAACGAAAGAGATTTGAAAGGGGTCACTTCGTTTCAACTACAGGTAGTCACGGCACGGATGAAGATGTTAAAACCTTCATCAATCTGAAATCAATTTGGAAATCTTCTACACTCAGAATGAAGAACGAAATTCGGATTTGCAACATCAATGTTCAGTCAGTCAGTCTGTATGGGTGAGAAACTTGGCTAACGCGTCACGAAAAGCATTTTCAACAGACTTTTTATCAACAACTGCCTTCGCTAGCTGCATACTGGAGATCATCAAATGGTCAGTCAGAAAGACTGAGCAACATGAAACTACATGAGAATACCAATAAAGATCTTATTACTCAACAAATATGTAGAAGAAAGTGGAGGTGGATAGGGCCCACACACCCCCTGAGGAGAAGACCGTCGAATGATATCGGTTGCCAAGCCATCACTGGAGTGGAAGCTGAATGAGAAATGGCGTTACTTTGAGGCTGACATGGAGGAGATTGTATGTTAGAGAGGAGATGAGAGACTGTGGGCAATCGTGAGGTCAGCTAAATAGAACTGCAGTGAATAGGGCAAAATGGAGAAGTGTTATGTTCCACTCGGAACCCAATGGAACATTAGTAGTGATAATAAAAGGCTTGTTCATACAACAAATCTCAATCTATCCCTCTTCCTTTTCTCTTTATAACTATTCGTCTTATTATTTATAGAGACTATGAACTGTATTCATCTTTTCTTGAAATCAATATCCTCTTCTCGTTTTTTTTTTACTGTACAAACCAATAATGTTTTATCTCATATATTTTGGCTGTGTAACTAAATGCACATGTGCGCACATGCACACAGTGTTATTGTATATATTTGTAACACAAAATTTAGACAGCCTATTTGGATCTAATGTTTATATAGAATTTCCAGTAGGTATAGATAGTTTCTCACTGAATAGAAAGTGAATAGCGTTACGGATATGTTGTTAATGTGCAACAGTTAAATGATAACTTTATCGATCTGAGATGTCTTACGCTATCCATCCTGGTCTTGTGTGCGCATCACCAATTCATTCTTTCTGTTCGACTTGCATCTTTTGTTCAGAAGCTTAACAATCCGATCTTACTTCTGTGCAAAGTTCTAAGTGGATTTCCCGTTCTCGTCTGTCGTCGGCTAATAGTAGTGATAGGTACATTGGTGAATAAAGAAGATACGTCAACAAGTGATATCATGAATTTATTATCAACATTTAAATCTCTTATCCTTTCAACGAATCCCTAAGTATCCTTTACACTATGTTTCACCAACTCAGTATGAAGGGGCTGTAAGAGTTCTACTAACCATTTGGCTACAGCATGGTATGGTGAATTTAGCATACCTAATACTGGTCGAAGCGGTACACCATTTTTGTACACTTTAGGCGAGCCATATAGTCTTGATGTGAACGTTCCGGTGGGTTTAAGTGATGTGTACTGACTCTGTGGGGTGAAGCCTTGTTGTTTCAGTCTTTTCAATGTTTCCGCTAACTGTTTCTCTATCTTTTCAATTGGATCCAGAGAAGAGGAAATTTTTTTGGAATTTTAGATTATCATTAAGAATAGTATTCATCTTCTCAAAGTAATCCGCTTTGTTCATGATAACCACTCCTGAGCCCCTATCCAGTCTTGTTATTATTATGTTATCATTTTTGCGGAGAACATCCAGGACTTCTCTATGTTTTTTGGTCAAAATACTATCCGAATTGCGTTTAATGTTCATGTAATAATAGCAACAATTGACCAGTGTTGATTTAAGTCTTTCAACATCTTCAGTTGATGAGGGTGTTAGGCCTTCCATTTGAGTGTAGAGACTTTCGAACTGAATTTGTGCATCCATTTCGTTAATTTTTACATGGCTATCACAAAATTTAGGGCCAAGCGATAAAACCTGTAGATCCACTTCACTAAGTATTACATCCGAAAAATTAAACACAAAACGATTTGGGTTCGGAGGAAATCTTGTTTCAGGTGCCTTGTTCTCTAAGTTCTGTACCAGCTGCAGGCGTTTCTTTTCTTTCCTATTACTCACAATTACATCCACATAATCTAAAAATAATTTCTTGAAGTTTTCTGGTAATTCGTCAACAGCATAGAACCTTTCTGTCACGTTCTTAGATAACTCAGTAATACACAATTGAATTGAGTCAATTTGGTTACGTGCATGGCGTTTGAGTGTCTTATCATTAGGCCGGATTCTGCAACGGCGTAGAGATTTCCAATAAGATTTCGGGTACCGGTTTGTTTCAATACACTGGTGGATAAAGTCGACAGTTGTCTTTGCTTAGTAGTGATAGCTTTATGTCGAATAGTGTTTACGTAATGTACAGAATTTTCAGCCGAGTTTACTGCATGATATTTTGTCTTTGTCCAAGATCTTCAAATACATATTGATTGACAGTGGATCGTGTGACACAGTTTTCTATCTTTCTAACATGAAGCACAAACCAATCCATCATTATGATATCTCTTCTTCCCCTCCTCGGAGAAATACACAACGATATTTTTTTTATGTTGAATGCTAATTATAAAAAATTCAGTAGTACATTTTGTGGACGCAGGACACCACTGAGGAACGGTCATCTCATGCATTTGGAGAGGCTACCATCCATCCATCGAGGATAATGCTTTTTCACCTCATACTTAGTAGAAACTTGAGAATCAGGAGGTTGTAAATGTTATAAATACTCACCAGAGGAAACAACACTATTAGAGGTCATACTTTAGTAGATTTAAACAAACTAAATAAGAGAAATTATATACAATATACATTGATGGGGTTTTTTGGTAGTCCCAAGTTTTAAGCAAATGAACATAAACAAGACGGAGGTTATGAAAATAACCAACCAGCAACAACAACAGCAACAGCAACATCCAGCGCCAATCACCATCGACGGGAGGGATTTGAAAGAGGTTACTTCATTCACTTATCTAGGGAGCATTGTCTCAACCAAAGGAGGAACGGACGGACGAGGATGTCAAATCGAGAATCGGTAAGGAGAGAAACACATTCATCAACCTGAAACCAATCTGGAAATCTTCGTCACTCAACATCAACAACAAAGTTCGGACTTTCAATACAAACGTCAAGTCAGTTCTTCAATACGGATCAGAAATTTGGCGGGTCACAAAGAATATTTCCAACAGCCTGTTGCAGACCTTTATCAACAACTGTCGGCCGGAAGGAATCACCAACAAGAAACTATGGGAACAAACAAAACAAGAACCAATCGCCCAACAAATATGCAGGAGAAAGTGGAGATGGATTGGACACTCGCTGAGGAGGCCGCTGGGTGACATCGCGTGTCAGGCCATAGCTCGAGTGGAACCCGAAAGGGAAACGGCGAGTGGGACGTCCAAGGGTGACATGGAGGAGATCAAGTGAAGAGTAATTGAAACAGTATGGACTAACATGAATGCAGGAGAAAAATACAGCAGAAGAGTGAAGCAAGTGGAGACGTTTATTTGAAGCCCTATGCTCCACTAGGAACCCAAGGGGACAATAGTGATAATAATAATACAAGTTTTAAGCAAGCCAGTCACCCATGTATGACTGAAGGGACCCAAACCATGGCTTTCTGAAGTCAGCTATGTTGAATAACGAAAGGAAAGATACTTGAAACACATTTAAGATGAACTATATCGACCAAAGAACATGTGTACTGCTCAGCATTTGACTCTATCCTTTTCTGGCCATGAGACATGTTCATTGAAAGTGAAAGATATGAAAAGACTAACTTTCTTTGACTACAGGCGTTTTCGTTCTGTCTCCTGTGTTGTGATTCTGATATATGATGAGCGATGTTGAGGTTAAGCGTGGAGTGTTGTTACGTAAGAAGGATAAGTCGATCCATGAAGTTGTGAGAGTGAGTCGATTAAAATAGCTAGACAACGCATTGCGTATCCCGAGTCATTTGCCTTTCTCCTGAAGACGTTTCGAGCACAATTTATTGCTCATAATCATATCAAGGTAATCACACGACTTCCTAAATTCATTTATATAGTTCCATTATTTTTCACTTGATTTCCACTTGATTTGATTGGTAGTGAAAAATAATGGAACTATATAAATGAATTTAGGAAGTCGTGTGATTACCTTGATATGATTATGAGCAATAAATTGTGCTCGAAACGTCATCAGTAAATATTACTGTATAACACTGTGAGACTCTATCAAAATAAAATTTACCCAAAATGGAATTACACTCTACCACAGTGCCCAAGTTTTATTCTTATATCAATGATACTTTCTCCTGAAGCAATCAATGTTAGCCAATATTGGATTAGATTGGAAAAGCGTTAGGCGTGGTCAAACCAAAATTTGACATCAGTCCATCAGGTCTTTGATGGGTTGGTTTGAGCCATGCAGCGGGAAGGTGTAGACTGTCGGACTGTTTGGCGTCCAATGACTGGAGACTATTCCTGATATGGTTCAAAATCACTCTCATTGGTACAGACGCATTCAATTTTTGTGGTCTCCCCCATATCCATTGAATTATTATGTTTTCCTTCACATTTCTGCTTAATTGCCCATTATGCATATACGAAAAGGCTGGCTAGCTGTCTTTGATCACAGGTGTCAGGGTTCTATCTCCCGTGTTAAGCGGTATAATGAAGTGAGCAATATTGAGACGAGGCATCAATCAATGTGCTACGTAAGGAGAGGAAATCAACCGATGACGTTGCGAAGTTACACACAGATTGAGATGGTTAAGATATGTATTGAGCGTGCCTAGAGTCAACACCTTCCTCGACGGGAGATATTACCTGACATAGGATGGGTCAGGTTAGAAAAGAGATGGTGGTGGTCAAACCAAAACATTGCTTTTCTCATTCAATGAAATCCATAACAACAGTTAGTTTAAACCAGTCACGTAAGGAGGAGGTGTAGACTTCCCAGTTGATTGGGGTCCTTAGGATTCTAAGAACCAATGACGACTGGAGACAATTCGTAATATAGCCGCCTCAAAATCCTCGTTATCAATGACTGGAGTAGATGCATTCAATCTTTGCGGTTTGTCATATCTATTAAAACTCTATTTCTATTCTTTTCCCCTCAACGCACATTTCTGTTTATTATGCCTCTTTTGAATCTCCCCTTACCGTCTTCTCATGCTTTGTGTACTACATGGGGAGGACTAGTGGCAAGTTGTACTGCTGCACATTTTTGTGCAAACTTCTACGCTGAAAGCGGTCAGTTATTTTGGATTCATGGTTTAATTGACGAATTCGTTGGTGTTCAGTCATTAGAAGAACTTCAATTAGTGAGAGAGATACATCTCTCCAGTTGACAAATCCCCCTACATAGAAGAAAATATACACTTCGTCTCATCATCAGCTGACATTGGTTAGAGAACCACTGGAAAACCTGCCAGGGAGTACTGGAAAGCTGTTTTGTCCTGGTTTGGGACTCTTCATCAGTACACGCCCACCGCTAGGGTTCGAACCCAGGACCTTCTGGTTACAAGGCGAGTCTCATACTAGGACGAAACAGCTGTCCACTAGTCCCTGTCAGGTTTTCCAGTGGTTCTCTAACTGATGTCAGCTTATAATGAAATCATGTAACCAGTCAAATCCCTACAAACCAACAGTTGAATATACACTTCAATAGGTGACATTGCTAGCTGCGACTTTATTAATTGGTAGATTATGTTTCATATCATGCAGAAACAGTGAGTGAGTTATTAGAGTCAAAAAGAAAAAAATGACCTCTATGTTCAATCATCAATAAATAACCTGTGAATAATGTAATATCGAATTTAGCTACTTTTAACTTTGTTTTTGTTTTTCGCATTATTATTATTATTATCTATCATTAAACTTTATATTTTCCTCCTTTTTTTCCCCAACTAAAAAATATGTTCGTTCTCACACATGATGGATGTGAATGTTGCAAACTTCAGTCTCCCGCCAATGGTAAGTATCGTACTTTTTCGTTTATCGCTGTTCTTATCTCGTTTTCTTATCGTCATCATCACCATTATCATCTTTTGTATTGTAAATATTGATAAAACTCTGAACTAATATAAAAACGATTGTTATTGTGAAAGAGAATGGAAAAAAAGAGTAAGGCAGAGGAGATTTCTATACTGCCACTACTGTTTTTAACATTACTGTTTTTTCCTGCTTTCTAACCTAATTTAATTGGGGATATAGCTTTTTATAAAGTGTTGGTTTGCAGTTATTTGATTGGTGGTTATAAGGTTTTATCACAAGTAGTTGACACCAGAGTTAGTAGAAGAGCCTTTGGAAAATCAGATAGGGAGTAGTCTGACTGCACCTATGTATTTGACCTGGCAATCATCGCAGCAGGGTATTAGATAAACTAAGTTGTTTTGTTTCAAAGGCTCCACGGGATTGATCCTTTTACAGACAAAGCTTGTTTCTAATTGAGTTTGTGGTTAGTTTGAATGCCAGCCAGCCACTTTTATTCCTGCCTTGTTAAGAACTCTGCGTAATGTGGTTTCCGAGGTTCCTTCCTTGTATGGAATTACTACTGATGATTTAGATTCCCTGTTGTTGGTGTAGTAGTAACTTGGGAAACCTCAAAGTTTCCGTGGATCCGGGAAATTACATAGAGAATACACATGCCTCCCCCTTCAACCGTGTTAGTACTAGTTTAGTTAGAGATAAACTGCAGAAATCTAGTGGGACATAGGTCTTAAACAACATACTGCCGTTTCAATCCATTCTCAGTAGTCCACTGCTGTGTTATATTTCCTTATTACAAGAGATGTGTTTTGAAAAATGTCGCATCTATAGGCTAACACTATAGACTTGTGCGTCGGTGGCATAGCGGTTAGCACGCTCACCGACCATGCACATGGTTCGGGGTTCGATCCCAGGCCGACGCACTCCTTTACCTCACTAAGCCAGTAATAAAGTCAGTAAAGAGAGAAGCTTAGGCATGAGGCTAGCAACCCCATCATGTGAAAATAAACACTGCTACAGAAACTTCAAGCCTTCTCGCTTGAAGCCCTATGTTCCACTTGGAACGTGAAGGAAAAAAAGACTTGTATTCATGTCGTAAATAGATCAACAAATATTTGAAGTAGATGCACTTTATTTGAAGTTTTATTAACGCGTGAATGCATCACTTATAGCTTTTGTGATAGTGTGTAACCGTGAACTACCCTTTGAAATCAATTTGATTATCCAGAGGTTTACACAACTAAATGGTGCTAGTACACTGACAAGCAGTATTGCATCATTGAATTCTGTACAGATTTTCTGTGAACTTCCTACAATGCTTGACTTTTGAAAGAAATTGTGTGTTTGTTAGTGACGCAGTAGACTGGTGTATTTATTGACTTAGACACTCGACAGCCAGTCAGCTGGTCTATCTCGGGTTCGAATCCCCGCCTCCCTCTTCTCCACCTACTTCAGTTTGGGCAACTGTATGTAGAAGTGTCATCAGCCCTCATAATACAAGAAGTACGACTCGCCGCCTGATGCATAAAAAGCTTATCCTGGGTAATTAAGTTTCCGTTTGATAAATTAAGCATTTCATCAATTCTGAAGAGTTAAAAGTTGTAGTTCCAATAATCGAGGATCTTGACAAAATAGTACTAAGGTGAAATAAAGTTTGAATATAAAGAATGCAGACCATGGTGTTGATTTACGTCACGTGATATATGTGTTACGCATGTCTAACCAACGCCCTTCATCGACGGTTAACGTTAGCTGAAAGGATGGATCAGGTTGCAAAACAGCTAGTGGTGATGAAACCAAAACATGGCTTCATCAGTCAATGAAATTCACAACAACAGTTAGTTTAAGCCTGTCACGTAGGAAGGTGTATACTGTTAGCTTGGTTGGTTGGAGTCCTCGGGATGGTAAAAACCAACGAGTGGCTCAAAATCCTCTTTGTCAATGGCTAGAATAGATGCGTTCACTCTTTGCGATTTGTCATATCCAATAAAAAATTCCTTTGTTCTTCCATATTACTCTTCTTTTTCCCTCACTCAAACTTCTGTTTATTATCTCTCTTTGTTTTGAATCTCCTCTTTTGATTTGTGTGCTACATGGAGGGAGAGTGGCAACCCGAACTGCTGCACATTTTTGCAAAGTTCTACGTTAAGACCTATTCAGTCAGTCTTGTATCAGTTAGGGATGAGTGGGCTTTTTGTTTTGCGACCTTCTTGATGTTTGATAGTAGACTACGGTAGAGCTAATGTTGTACTCATGTTTGGTATTCATTCCCCTCCAACTTCTGTATATTCTCGTAATGCGAACTGAATAGTTCAATGTGGGGAATTCGTAGAAAAGTGCAGCCAGGAGCCACATTTCGCAAATTTGCATTCGAAATGAAGACGTGTAACTAAATCGATATGATTATGAGTTGCAATAATTTATGCTCGAAACCTTGTCATCCAGTCATTAATAATACTGCCTTACTTATTACTGTGTGGGATATTTAAAATACACTAACTCTAGTAATGTTGAAGTTTTATCTTACAACAATCGTTTATTATGACTTTAAAAGTTACCAAGTAAAACTTCATATCAGATAACAACAACCTAATCTATGTGTGTATAAGTTCGCATCTTGAGTTGTGAATACTTCTCCATCCTTTGTAGTTTGTTTAACCAGTTTAATATTCACACTCAAACAAATAGAGCTGCGAAATGCGTCTCTTTGATTAACGGCTGATATTTGAGTTATAGTTTCCAAATTGATTCTGTTAGCGGATTAGATGTTGTTGTTTTTTTTCGAACACAAAAATATATTCATCGTCTACTTTGATCTCTCTGTATTTCTTTTCAAGTCTTTTGCTTTTGTTCGCTTTTTGTTGGTTCTTTTTATTTTATAATTAAAGGTCATTCTTAAGTCTTTTGATTGATTGAAACACGAAATGCTTACTTAATATCACACTGTTTCTGATCAAATTTCTAACTTTCTTTTTTTAAAAGAAATATGGTCATTTCTGCTTCTCAGCGTGTTTCTCCTACTAAATCAAAGGCATGAGGAGGCTAAAATGTTCAGTTCTGGGTTACTCACCGATTAAGTAGACTTGGACATACTTCTGACTTCCTTCGTCTGTCTTTTTGTGTATTAGTAGTCTTTTCACGTGCGTCAGGTGGTGGTGTTGGTGATGGTTGCTCAGCGGTAGAACGCTTGCTGACCACACACACCACACGTGGTTCGGCGTTCGATCTCCTCCCGGCTGCCAACGCACTCTTAAACCTCTCTAAGCCTGGTTTATTTATTTATTTAAACGCAGAAAAAAAGCTTGGTACAGTATGGCACCAAGAAAGATGCGCCACACAATAATAATAATAACAAAACAACATAAATCAAGTAAGTAAGAAATATAAGTAGAGAACGGATAAAGAACTTCATCTGGAAGGAAAACAGTCATACTTAACAAGTTCAAACAGTATTCGCTAACTATCATCAGGAAGGGAATTAAAGAAAGAAATTGCAACACGTTCGCCATTGATTACGATTCTTGGCCATATCCGATAACGTTTCGAGCTATCTTGAGGACTTCAATCAGGGAGTCGTGACGCACCAACCAATGCTAATCAAACATAAACATCCTTCATCCCACTACGCCACATCATGGACTGACCACCCCTCTGCCTTTTCCATCCCGTCCCAGGTCTGGCTAGCGAACAGAGACCTGTACGGAAGCCTCTGGGATGACATTCGCAGCATATGTACAAGCCACCGGAGCCGGTGTTTCCAGATGACAACACTCAATGAATGGTGATCTCCACTGTGTTCAAACACACGCCGCCGAACCTCAGAATTACTCACATGACGATGCCATCAAACGGAAGCAATCCTGTGGAGACAGAGATGATCGAACACGCAGAGTCGCCGCACATCATCAGCTCGGAGAGTCCAGGTTTCACAGGCGTAGAGCAGGACAGCCCGCACCAAAGCATTGTATACCCGACCTTTGACAGCCAGGCTAACGTCGCGACGGCGCCAGAGGTGGCTGAAGTTGATGTATGCCACCCTAGCCCTCTCATTCGTGACTTTGACTTGTACATGATTTACCCTGTAGCATTGTAATAATTCATGATGCTGTTTTGCCTTCTATATAAATGTGTATGTGACAAGTACGTGAGTGTGTGTGACGAGAATCTCTGGGATGTTTTGCGCAAATACACATTACACACTTCAGTTAAGTTACGTTTTCTCTTAGCCCTGATGCATGAGAGAAGTCTGTTGTAGGCTTCAAATTTTACTGTCTCTATCCCAAAGTTTGAGCAACTAGGCTGCACCAATAGTAGTCGAACAGATTAGATGGATTAACAGTAAACTATGCATCACATGTGGTGTATGCGAGTGGTTATGAGACTGTTAATATATAAGGGTGATTACAGGATTTCACCATGAGCTGACATCCGGAAATCGTGACCAGTGGGGGTGCAGCAGGTCGGTTGTGAAGACAAAACCTCGCTGAAGACATTAGCTAGTGGTCGTGCTATATCGTGAATAAGTAGATGTTGGAATTCATGGGCTGGTCATTGGATTGGATCCCAGTGGCTTAATGATTTACCAACTCGCATTGTAACCAGAATGTCCTGGTGGGTGCATACCGCTGAAGAGTCCCATAGAACTAGGATGAAGCAGCTGTCTAGCAATACTCCCTGTAGGATTTTCAATGATTCTTTAACTGATGTCAGCTCATGATGAAATCCTGTAACTAATCAATCAAATCCCAACAAACCAATACTTGAATATAAGGATGAATAAGCGAAGGGAGTGGAGTGATCCCACTCCAGGACGCATCATGTAACATTTAATGACAAATGTGTACATTTTGCCGTACAGTTGTTGTTTTTGTGTATGTGTGAACATGAAACTTATTTCTATTTCTTCATAACACTGAATTAAAATTATATTTCACTCTGTGTATTCCCCATTTACCCTTTTTTCGTTTTACATTAGCCCCAAATTCTGAACCGATTCCACCAATATCTTCAAATTCTGCTGAAAGTGATAATCAACAGACGACAACAATAGACTCATCGTCTAGTTCAGCTGGGCAGACTACCTCATCAACAGCTGGTGCTGGTGGTGGTGAGTCGAATCAACAAGAAGGAGATAGTACAGATAGTGGAAATAGAAGAATTGGTGAAATTGTTTTAGGACTGAATATTGCACCAGGCGAGGAACCGTTGCCACAAGGTTGGGAGTTGGCAAGAACAGCTAGTGGTCGTAAATTTTTTATCAATCATAATGAACATACTACGACTTGGGTAAGTCCCCTGTTTTTCTATGCCTTATTGATGTTTTCTCTGTGTATAGATAAATTGGTCTTCATATATATTATCATAAACAACAACAAAGTGACTAGCACTCATGAGGTGTGCAACAGATGGCACTGAAATAGAAACCAAGTCGGAAATTAAATATCTTGGCGTCATTCTATCCGCTGATCTTTCCTGGTCGTCTCATATCTTGATGATTTCTAAGAAAATATTCCGTCTTACCTTCTACATCAAGAAGTTGAGACGTTCTGGAATAACCGAACCCAACCCTTACTCTTACGATTGGTTAACTCTTGCATTTTGCCTATTGTTCTCTTTCGTTCCGCCTTAGTTTTTCCAGGGCTACTGAAGAAGGACTATATCTTATTACGTAGGGTGTTAAAGGTTGTCAGCAGGGTAAGCAATGTGCCACTTAACCAGCTTCCTAATATTCTGGTCGACAGGCACTTGGACTTATGCGAAAAATGGGCTAAATCCATTCTATCTAACTCACACCACCCTCTTCACTCACAACTCTCCCATTGCATCTCATCAGGCAAAACCAGAAGCCTATATAGAAAACTATATGCTCGCACTAGCAAGTAAAAAAAACTCAACCATACCCTACTTGGCTCGTGTTCTGTGCGATAAAGAAAGAATTAGGCGTGACACCTATAATTCATTAAATACTCAGTAGAACAATTGGATCTCATCTTTCCAACTCATACCATTTACAGGTACAACTTTTTCTTTCTTTTCCTTTTCTCTTTTTTTTGTATGTACTGTTTTGTTTTTCTCTTCCTTACAAACTCTGCTTAAAACATCCTTCTTCGTTCTTTCACACTCTGTATATCTCGACCTTTTTGTTACCGCTTGCGCCAGTAAATATGCTAGTATATACTTTTCTAACACCTTCAACCATTCTGTTCACTTTTGACTTTGCTGCTGCCGATATGCTAATATGTTGTTGTCAAAATTAACTGAGACTACCCATAATGTATTGTAGAATTTTATTCGTTGTTAATGTTCAAGCTGGATGCAATACTGTAGTGAAATGCTGAGAATTTCATTCTGTATCACAAGTATTGTTTTGGAATAAAGCAAATTATTATTATAAATTACTTAAGATATCAGTTCTTGTACATTTCGAATCGAAACGAACTAAGACCATAGAAACCGACACTTGTAAGTTAGTGTAATACTCACTAGTGACTATGGCTACAGGAGTAAGTTTCCTAGAGTTCTAAATTCACCTTTAGGCGCATAAACGTGATCTACAAGAACTGGTTCCTCGTTTATATGATGTTTGCAGCTACTTAGAAGGCACTGAAATAGCAACTAAGTCAAGCGTATTAAATACCCTGGCGATAGTTCTGTCCTCTGACTATTCTTGATCATCCAATAATATCCTGTTGTCGATTTATACGAAAATGTTTTATCTAACCTACTACTCACATTAAGAAGTGTTAAAACAATCTGGAATCCCTCAACCTCCACTTTTACAGCTTGTTAACTCTTGTATCTTACCTAGTATTCTTTATTACTCCCCCCCCACCTTAGTCGTTCCTGATCTGCTCATAAAGGATTTTATCGTAGTGAGGAGACGAGTATTAAAGGCTGCTAGTGTAGGGCAAGTGGTGTCCCACTTTGTCAACCAGCTCGTTACTATTGTAGTCGACAGATACCTGAACTCCTGTGAGAAATGGTCGAAATCTGTATATTGTCTGACTCTCAACCCTCCCCTTCCTTCCTACATCTCATTAGGTAGAACTAGAAGTCATTATAAAAGACTAAACGCTAATACAATCAAGTGCAAAAACTCAACCGATACCATGTTTCGTCCGCATCCAATGTGATAGAGATAGTGTGTTAAGTGTGAAACTCACGACTTACTATGTAATTAGAAAAATAATCGGCTCATTTATCCTCTCCTATTCGTTCGTCATCTTTGATGACACTACTTCAATTGTCTGTCTGTTTTCGACATAGAACTTCGCACTGATGTGCAGCAGTTCAAGTCGCCACACTCCATCTAACACACAAAGCAAGAGAAGAAAGTAGAAGAAATGTATAATAGAGACAGTAAACAGAGGTGTGAGACAAAGGAATAGTAATAACGAAGAACAATATAGTTTCATTGGAAATCATAAGTCACAAGGAGTGGATGCATCTGCGCCAGCCATTGACAACGAGGATTTTGAGCCAAATCACCAATTGTTTCCAACCATTGGTTTTTACCGTCCCGAGGACCCCAACTAGGAAGCCAGTCTACACCTTCCTACGTGGTTTAAACTAGCTGTTGTGGATTTGCGACGCCTAAGCTCAATATTGCTCGCCTTATTATATCACTTCACACGGTGACAGAAAACAGGCACCTATGATCAAAGACAGCTAGCCGCCCTTTTCATGTCTTCCACTCTCAATGGCCAGGTTTCACAGCCATAAAGGAGGACGGAGCGGACTGCTGAGCAGTACACCCGCCCTTTGGTTGATAGTCGGTGCGTCGGTGGCACAGTGGTTAGGACTCTCGCCGACCATGCACATGGTCCGGGATTCGATCCCCTACCGACGCACACCCGATATCTATGGTCGGCCTGTGAAATTTGGGCTACCGATATCCATGCTGAAAATTCCATACTTGTACTGAAAATACGGTGTGGCATCAAGCTGAAATAAAAATAAAAAAATAAAATAATAGTCGGATATCACGTCTACTCAAGAGACGGCGTAAACTGGCATATGCGAAACTAGCCTCTCTGTATCCGTACTGAGATTTCGTCAGAGATCAATCCGTTGGGGCTGATAGTACTCCCCAAATAAGTGAAGCGGTCAACGTGCTCTACCACTTTACTGCCTATTTCTAAACTAGGAGTCAGTGTAGTCCAATCCTGTAACATCATCATGCATTTGGTGGGAGCGAATCGCATGCCAAACATTCGTAGATTGTAGCTTAAGGTGTTCTGAAGACTGCATTTTGTTAGCGTCTTCACCTAGGGAGGTGGACTATATAATCTGCATATTCTAAGTCAACGAGATTATTCCCTGGTAGCAAGTCAATCCCTGAGTCTCTGAAGTGAGTTAGGGTTAAATCCATCAGTGCATCTATGATTAAATTGAATAGAAAGGACATCCCTGACGGACACCACTAGTCGTCATCACTTCAAATGACAACTCGCCATAAGCCCTCACCTGGCTGCATGAGTACGAGTAGAGTGCCTTAATCAGTGCAATGTATTTTCTCGGCATTCCCTTCACAGCCAAGCATCGCCAGAGAACCTCCCGGTCGACAGAATCGAATGCCGCCTTTAGGTCAAGAAATATAACGATTGTTGGACTCGGTAGGAATGCCTATGTTCTAGAATCTGTCGAAGGGTGAAGATATGATCAATACACCCTCTTCTTGGCCTAAAGCCTGCCTGGTTCTCTCGTGTTTGTGCCTCCCGAGCACCACTTAGTCTACGCAATATTATTGACTCTAGGACTTTAGATACTATATTAGTCAATCTAATCCCTCTGTGATTATCACAGGAAGACTTGTCTCCCTTCTTGTATATCGGGATAATCAGTGACTTACACCAACCCGACGGGAGTTCCTCTGATTCCCAGACGCTGCCAAGTCCCTCATTTAACGCAGAGAGTAAACTGTCTCCACCTTACTTAAATACTTCTGGAGTCATTCCATCAGGTCCTGCCGCTTTGCCTGGTTTCAGACTAGTGACAGCTTTAGTAACCTCAGTTAGCGATGGAGGTGTTGGATATCTGGCAGGTTGAGCGTGGCTGTAGGTCAACTGAATTGCTCCTCAAAGTGTTCTTTCCAGTGTTCCATTCTTCTATCCTGGGAGCTAATTATGGTGCCATTTTTCTCAAAGATTGTTTCACTTCAACTAACTTATAATTTCAGCTATTAACGTTATTATCATTATTTTCAAAAGAATGCTTACTGAACAAAGAATACTTTTTTCGATAACTTCCTCATTGTCAGGTTCTACATTTATATGTATCAATACATTATAGTGAATGAATGATTGAATGAATTAGTGTTATGAACAACATTAGTGTTGTTTAAATAACATCAAATCAATAATAATAATATCAATAGATTACAGTTCAATGGTAACAACATAACAATAAACTGAATGTCAAAAAAATTAGGAAAGATAATCACAATACAGAATTCATGAATTTATAGTCCCCACTGAAGGCCGACCAGGGTAGTAGTAACAGTAGTGGCTGAACTGGCTTCTTTTGAACACAGAGCACAGGTTTTTTCACGCGAATCACGATTTTAGCCTCCGCTGTTTGGAGCATGCAGTACCTGGATGTTTTTGGCAATTTATTCGATACCCGATAGGTGATAGAGAAGGATTCTTAAATGCTGGCTTTTTGGTGGGTTTGGACCAGGTGGTTTGATATCGAACTGTTGATGAAGATTTTACTACACCTCTACTTAGCCATACTGGAAGATGTTCCTGGGAGAGCATGAAAACTCAGGTTCCTAGAGCGACGGCTGATATAACTCGCTCCAGAAGCCGTCGATGACATTGGCGGGTGCCATTGGCGCTATATATCGTACATTGACAGAAACTAGAAGTCATGAGCCATTGGATTGTGTTCCAGTGGCCGGGGATGGTCAACAAGCTCGCCTTGTAACTTGCACGTTCTGAGTACATTTTGTTGAGGAATCTCAAACTAGAACGAAACAGACAGTTGTCCAGCACTCCCTGACTTTCAATGGTGCGGTGACTTATATGAATCCGTGATCACACTAGAATTATAATAGTGGACATTATGTTATCCGACATAATATTTGTTTAATTGTAAAATTATCTGCTATCTATCATGGTGTTTTTGGCTTCCTTTTCGTTAGTAAGCTCAGTTGCAAACTTTTAAAACTGCTCACAAACGCAATACAGGTTTTAAGGAAACAATAAAGTGATCAAGGTATCGCAGCAAGGAATGATCTTTCTTTTCGATAGTTTACTTTCGTGATAAAGTTCCAGGACCTCTTTGTGGTCATAGGTCAAAATTCGACCAATAACAAGACAGAGTTACGTAATAAAATTTGGTTTTAAGATAAAGTAATCAGGCAGTTGGAATAATAAATGCAACTGCAAAGATACAGCTTTGACAGACATTTTCCCATCACAGCTTTCAAAATCACTCAGTAAAGCATTTATCGCCTGCAGTTCTCCCAAGAAAGTGTCCGGCCAGCATTTCGAGACAAGCTGCCATCTTGGGCCAAATCGACAGTGCATCCATCAGTTCATATATTTCTGTGCATCTGAGTACATTAGTCATGTCATGCGTCCACTTGTAAAATTCACTTGGGAACACTATCTAGTCTGGCTAGCAACGAAAAGACAAAAATGTGTCTATAGTTAAGTAATAGAACATCTGAGCTCAGGAAATTCCACTCCATTTGAGATTCGGTCAAACCTTTCAATTGAAGTAAGATCAAGACATCTGGGATTAGCATTAGCTTCCCAAAGCTTCGTTCTGTCTTTTGCTTCACCACAGCCATTATAAACAGTCTACGTTCTTACAAAAATCATTATCATATGAACTTCTTGTTTGCTTTTCTTCTTGTGGCTTAATCTCCTTTTCTTATTGCGTAACTTTGTTATATGTTGACTTCTGGTTGGAAATAGTTTTGAAAATTTCTCACACCTGTACAGTCTAGCTGTTTCTCCAGTAATCAAATGGGTAGCATATTCGGTTGATCAAGGCATTGTACAAAGGAGTTAACTGGAGATTATTTTTTGCGGGATAGAAATAAGCAACTTTATAAGTTTCTGTATTAGTCTAGAATGCTGTTTCACTGTATTATACTACGACTTTCATTCTCTTATTACCGTTCTTTTTTTTCTGTTTGCTATATACAAGGATGATCCTAGAATTACTCGATCAAATAATCAACTGATTAATGGTTCCCTATTGACACATGAAGCTCAACGGCATTTAATGAAAGACTTGGGTCCACTACCGGTAAGTCGAATTGCGTTGATTTCGTTGTTACTATTGTTGTTGTTGTTAGTCAGTTAGTCAGTTGGTTAGTTAGTTATATGATTGCTTTTGCCCTTCCTGTGACTTCAACGTTGAAATGTGCTCCACATGTCGTGCTACTGCCTACCTTCCTTGATTGGTAATGTTAGCCTTTGAAGTCCTGTGTCTATTGACTGCATCTTCCACCAGTTTTGTTAGTTTTCGTCCATAGTTGTCCGAGTTTGTGTGACATAAGACATAAGTCAACAGTGAAATCGAGATCTTGTAGAGTTATCCTGTCATCTCGCACTCCCTACGCTCTGTCTCTGGAATAATCCAGTCCCCACCGCAATTAGGAATATCATCGCTGATAGTAGGCAGGCAACCTTATCTTACTCATGTTAAGTAGTTTTTCGTCACTCAGCATCAACAACAAAATTCGGATTTTCAATACAAACATCAAGTCAGTTCTTCTATACGGATCAGAAACTTGGCGGCGGGTCACAAAGAATATTTCCAACAGACCTTTATCAACAACTGTCTTCGTTCTATACTAAAGATCAGATGGCCGGAAAGAATCACCAACAAGAAACTATGAGAACAAACAAAACAAGAACCAATCGCCCAACTTATCTGCAGGAGAAAGTGGCGATGGATTGGACACTTGCTGAGGAGGCCTCTGGGTGAAATCGCGTGTCAGGTCATCACTTGAGTGTAACCGTGGAGGGAAGCGGCGAGTAGGACGTCCAAGAGGGACATGGAGGAGATCGTGTGAAGAGGAGTTGAAACAGTATGGACTGACATGGATGCAGGTGAAAAGTACAGCAGAAGACAGAAGGAAGTGGAGACGTGTAGTTGAAGCCCTATGTTGCACTAGGAACCCAAGGGAACAATAATAATAATTATTATTGTCTGTTAACATCAAATGATTCACACTGAGTTTATTATTGTAAAGCAAATCGAATAAACGTTTATGACAAATAACAACTTTTTGAAAAACACATTGGTCAGCAAACAGATTTTTCGTGACTCCAATTCAACGCTGTACAGTAATTTAAGGGGCTAAACTACTGAGAACAGTGGTCACAGGTTATTGTCAATGAGTAACAAAGTAGATCAACGTACATGAGTAATAAGGTGTGAAGAGTTTTGTGAATATTCTTACATAATCGAAGGGAGACTGAGCATGTACCATCAGTGTGGAATGAAGCCATTACCGTCCTCATCTTTAAAAAGGGTCGACGTAATTCGTGTGACAATCATAGGGGTATCAGTCTGCTACCAGTCGCATCTAAATTATTGGCTGCTGTCTTGCTTCGCAGGCTGTGCAAAACACGTGAGGGATTGTTTCGCGCAGAACAGGCTGAGTTTCTTTCAGACCGTGGATGCATTGATCATGTGTTCCACCTTTCGTCTGTTGTTGGAATACCGCCACACGTATTGCAGACCAACAGTCGTTGTGTTTCTTGATATTAGGGTTCCCTTTAATTCGTTGGATAGAACTGTCGTCTGGAACTGGAGTTACCTCTGGGACCGTCGTGACGTTCGCCTGGCCGTCGAAAGTCGGGTTTAAAATGCTTCGGTGCAGGCTGTCTTACTCTACGCCCGTGAAATATGGCCTCTCCGAGCTGAGGATGTGCGGCGACTTTGCTGACGTTCGGTGGCATCGTTGCGTGAGTAATTCTGAGGTCCTACGGTGTGTGTTTCGACACAGTGGAGATCACCATTCATTGAGTTTTGTCAGCTGGAAACACCGGCTTCGGTGGCTTGGACGTGTGCTGCGAATGTCATTCCAGGGGCTTCTGTACCGGTCTCAGTTCGCGGAGAGAGATGGTTAACCAATGAAGTGGCGTCGAGGGATGAAGGATATTTGTGCTAGGTTAGCATTGGTTGGTGCGTCACGACTCCCTGGTTAGAATCCGAGAGATAGCTCGAAACATTTTTGGATATGGCTAAAAATCACAATCAATGGCTAGCGTGCTGTAATTTCCTTAATAAATAACGAATGCTGTTTGAACTTGTTAAATATGACTGTTTTCCTCGCAGATGAAGCACTTCATCCGTTCTCTACCTAAAGTTTACTATGCAACTATATTCATTTCTTCATTTTCTTTGCGTTCTGAGTGGAACATACAGCTTCCAGCTTGATCTTTGAAGTTTCAGTAATAATATGGTGGGTGGGGGTTAAAGTTGAAAGCCCAGAGCCCCAGGTTTTCTTTTTTACCTGGCTAAGGCGGGTTTAGTGGTAGTACATCGATTGAGAGTCGAACCAGGAATTTGACTAGTCTCCTTTTATTGAACCACCGACAATTATAATAATATACAAGTATTGGTTTGTAGGGATTTGATTGAGATGCTCACTAGTGACTAACTCTATTCATGTAGGTAATTACCTGGGGTTCTGTTGGGGAATCGTGACCAGTAGGGTGCATCAGGTTGGTTGTGAGGACAAATACTCGTCGCGGATGACATTGGCTGGTGCCAGTTGCTCTATATCGTGAATTAGCAGAAGTTGGAATTCATACACTGGTTGGCCATTGGATCGGGTCCCAGCGGCTTAATGGTTTCAGAGCTCGTCTTGTAACTAGAAGGTCCTGGGTTCGAACCCTGGCAGTGGTGTGGGTGAGCGTCGATGAAGAGTCCCATACTGGGACAAAGCAGCTGTCCAGCACTCCCTGCTTTGGTTTCCAATGGTTCTCTAACCTATGTCGGTTTACGATGAAATCCAGTAATAATAATATTCCATATTAGTTTGTTTATTAGATGTATCACACAGTGAAGACGCAGTAATGTTTACTGGAGACGTTTCGAACAAAATTTATTGCTGTTCATAATCATATCAATTGTAATCACACGACTTTGAAACTTGAGTTTTTTGCAATGTAAAAAGGAAAGAAGATGGGAAGTTAAACACTAGCGTGTGTTTACAGGAAACCCACACATTTAAACAGATATTTGATCTTCCTATCATCCCATCCTATGTCAGTAAAAATAGGATTGGTGAAATGTTTAAGTGACAGAGCACAAAAACTAAGTAGTACCAAGGAAAATCTAAGACAGGAAGTGATACACATAAAAGAAGCCTTGAAACTTAATAATTACCCTGATAAATTAGTTAGGAAATATGTAGGGAAATGTAAAAATAAAATAAATAATCATAGTAGTGATAGTGATAATGATAATAATATTAATGACGACATGCATGTCAAATGTGCGCAAGACAACACGAACAATAAGGAATCTAAATCGAAATCATCAGTAGTAATTCCATACAAGAAAGGAACCTCGGAAACCACATTACTCAGAATTCTTAACAAGGCAGGAATAAAAGTGGCTGGCTGGCATTCAAACCAACCACAAACTCAATTAGAAACCTTTGTCGATTAAAGGATCAGTCCTGTGGAGCCTTAAAAACAAATCAATTTAGTTTATCTAACACACTGCTGGAATGACTGTCAGGTCAAATACATAGGTCAAACTAGTAGAACAGGGACAGTCAGACTAGCCGAACATAAAAACCCAGCAAAATCTAGATTGGTTGACCCGAAGAAGATAAGAAATCTAGAGAATAGTTCAGCTATATCACTCACTGCATGCAGGATGACAGGGAGGAATTCATAACAGAAGTTTTGTTTATCGAATCAACTGCAAATACATGGAATAGAATTGATTCAACACCTGTCTAGCCAGATATCCGGAATATTCTACTACCCCAACGACGACGACAAATAGGAGAGAACAAAGAAAACTATAAAACTTAAGTTTCAAAGTCGTGTGATTATAATTGATATGATTATGAACAATAAATTTTGTTCGAAACTGCGTCATCCAGTAAATAATACTGTTTCACTCACTGTGTGGTGATACATCTAATAAGCAAACTAATATGGAATTATTTACTACCACAGTGCCCAAGTTTAGCGCATATATAAATAATAATAATAATAATAATAATAATAATAATAATAATACGCCAATCACTAATCAGTCATTAAATTCTGTTTTGGGCAAGTTTTGTTTTTAGTTGACACGTATATCTGTTGACTTCTCGAATTTTCCGTATTGTTTTCCTTATTTTGTTTACAATTATTACTGCTATCTATCTATCTATCGGATGGCTGGATTATTGTTGTAGCTTTTTAGACGACTTACAACCCCTTGTCTTGAGAACATATAATAATAATAATAATCTAGTGCGATTTTCTATGCACAAATACTGTCACATTCTGTGTCTCAGTTTGGTTGATATTTGTTTGTTTGTTTTCTTATCGATAGTTTCGTTTATTTTTTATTATTTTTTAATCAATATCATATTGTGTTATACCCTTTTTTGGTTTATGTATGACATGACCACTTATCATGCACTGTGATTGTGTGTGTGTGTGTGTACATTACACACTACTCTATTCATAACAGGTTTTTTGCATTTTGTTAAAAAAGTTCGAATGATGTCTATAGGTCAATGGGTGTACGTGTATTTATGTGTTTTACATGTAATTTGCATTTTCAGCCCAAAGTCTGTTTGTTTTGCATACAATTGATACAATGTGACAACATTGTGCTGGATAGTGTGACTGGTTATAATAATTGAATTGATATTTGCCTATGGCTTTGAAAAATTATTATTCTAAGTGTGTTGGTTTTATAAGGATTTGATTGGTGGTCACAGATTTGATCACGAGTTCACATCAGTTAGAGAAAACAGTTGCAAAACCTGGAGAGTCAGCTTGTCTCGTTGGTCTAGTGTGGGACTCTTCATTAAGCAGTACCCACCCACCACCAAGGTTCGAACCCGAGACCTTCAGGTTACAAGACAAGCTAGGAAGGACCCTATCCAATGACCAGTGCATGAAATCCAACCTCGGCCAATTCGTGATGCGTAGATAAGAGTGACTGTCTGTTCTCCTACCAGATTTGATGGACGACCCCCACTAGTTACTACTTCTCAATGAAACTGCAGATAACCTTCTGTATAGTGCCAGTGGCCAGGGTGGATCAGATTA